AGAGCAGTGGTCGCGAGTGAGGCAGAGCAGTGGTCGCGTGTTGGGCTTTCTGAGCAGCCCGCAAGGCCTAGCATTATCGAGGAGCCTGCCAGGCACCATCTCCACTTACATCTCCCCAGAGCGATGGTGGGGTTCAAAATTTGTCTTTTCGACTTGAATTCAGTCCAGTCTAAGAAGCACAGAGTTTGGGCTAGAGTTGTCTCCGTAGATGGACAACTTGGTGTTGACTTTCTGCCTTCATTACATGCCCAAGAACTGTCAGTTCTTCCGTTTGACCTTTTTGGGCCTTAAAAAAATGTTCTTAGGGAGCAGAGGAAGTTCTTTTCTTTCTTCCTGTTTATTCTCTTGCTTATGGAAAAATCTGCTTTGGCCGAGACCCTGATTCCCCAGAGGACGGGTGTCAGTCTCTAGAGCTTGTCCTGACCCACATAAGTGCTCTGTGTTCCGGAGAACACCACCCTAAGAGGACACAGTTGACCATGCACCGGGGAGCGTCTTTTGTTTTTTTGTTTGTTCCGTTAGATGTTTGGCCTCTGTAGAACATTTTTCTGTTCTCCTCTCCGGCCAGGCTTACTAAATCTACAAGAAAACCTGGTTCCTCCAGCATCCTTCAGCTGTGGGAAGGCAATCACTAAAGCAAGCAAGTGAAAAAAACAGAAACACACACAAAATAAAAACCCACAACTTTTTCTTTTCCAGTTTAAAAACCGAAGTGTGCTTAGGCTCCAATGGCGTTGTTTGTTGTTACAAAGCTACAGCAATAGAAGGATGGGGGCGGGAAGATGACGCTGTGTGCAATCAGAGGCATCCGATCCAGCTCTTGGCACGAGGCAGCTGCCTCGGATACGGTCCAGCGAGTTACAAAGTTCAGAACTGATATTATTGCCTTCGACTCTTCCGGTCCAAGCTCTCTTTATTTGGAAAACTGCTAAAAGCACTAGCTTGCGATGACTCAGTCTGACTCTTGACCCTTGGCTCACGGCCCTTCTGAAGCGATGCAAGGTGACCATTCTAGTTGGGGCAACAACAAGCTCATTTCAGGTGAATGCTGATTGTCCCTCTGAGCGTGCCGTGCGTGCCGTCAACGTGATGGATGCTTATTTCACTCACCGATTAGTAATGATCAGTTTGCCGCACCTGACTGGCAATCTTCAGGTGAACGGTAAAGGCATTTGATGTAAACTCTGGGCTTCAATGTTTCCAGGTGGAAATGGAAATATGTCTGTAGAGCGCTGATAAAATAAGAACTCACTCACCCAGAGGATTTGCTTTAGCAGACACTTATTTTCAGATGCAAATGCAAAGGCGCTCTGATTTTTCTATTGTTATGGTGTTCCCCTAAAATACGTTTTAAATGACAGCAGAAGGATACACATACAGAAGCTATTCTTAGGTAACTTTAAACAAGCATAAAACGACAGCATCCGTGGGAGCTATTTTAGACTCAGACTGCAGTGGTTTTCTACCCTTGTTGATATTTTTGCCCTCTCTCAACTTTCTCCCCTCAAATTTTGTCTTATTTGAGGCGGGCAAACCTAGGCCCCAGCATGTCTTCAGAAACCTTTGGTGGCTCTCAGCTGGGACGGATGTGTGGCTATGTAGTGGTGTCAGGACAAAGACATCTCTGAAGTCTATGGATCTTCTGCCCCCTTTCCCTAAATCAGTTCCATGGTTGACCCCTTCCAGGGAGACCACCGCTCAGGTTGTTAGATACACATGCCCTGGACTATGCTGGGGTAACCATGGAGGCCAATGGCTGCCAAAAATGCAACCAGGTCATAAAAGTGAATTCATCTGAATAGAAACTTCTGAACTTGGGTCATCGTGAGATATCCCTCTACTACCTAAATGATCACAATAAATAGCTTCACCATTTTTATTATTATGAAGTAACTATATACTCATTGCTAACTAAAATGAACTCATTGAATCAGAACTTCTCTGGGCAATTTGGTTAACATTTTGAAATTTTCTATGTGTTTATACACAGAAAGATACCCAATTATTACTTTTACAAGAATGATCATGGTGTGTTTGTTTGAATAACTCATTCTTAAAATGAGCGCCATGCCAAAGATACACAGATTTGAGTAAAGATCAATGTTTGGATTTTGGCGGTCACTGATATTTCTCTGCCATGGTCAAAGGTGGCATGTTGTCAGCTGCGCATGCGCAGGCTTGCATGGTGTCAGCTGCGCAAGCGCAGGCTTGCATGGTGTCAGCTGCGCATGCGCAGGCTTGCATGGTGTCAGCTGCGCAAGCGCAGGCTTGCATGGTGTCAGCTGCGCATGCGCAGGCTTGCATGGTGTCAGCTGCGCAAACGCAGGCTTGCTGCCGGCAGACTAATTCTTCAAGTGGCGATCTAGACACGTGAGTCTCCAGAGAGGAAGCTCCTCAAATCTGTGATGAGCACAGTTTTTGAAGCTTTTGCCTCTTTCACAAGGGCCACATACTTTTGGAAATCATTTTATAGCAAAGGTTGTTATCGACTGACATATTCTAACAATATACTTACCCAGTTTTTTTTTAAATACTACTTCCTGAAAAAATAAAACCAAAAAACCCATGGTGTTACATTGATTAGGATGAGTAAAAGCAGGATTCATTGGCTCGTTGGAGTGAAGGGAGGTACAGATATTGGGGGATTTGATAATGGTTCTATCACAAGTCACAGGGCCCTGGCCTGGAAGTTCAAGCTCTTCCCAGATCCAGGAAGACTGAGGTCACGCTTGTGAACACGTCACAGGATGTCAGCTGGCACAGCCTTTCTCAGAGGTCCATTTTCTGCTTCTTGTCCAGGAGCCGTAAAAAGATGCAGATTTTAAATTCAGCTGTTCTGCTCCTAACTGCTCCTGGAGGGAAGTACTCTTCAACGTGAAGAGTCTTCATAAAGATGTTTATTTGTTTTTTTCCTAGTAGCAAAAATCTGGGAAGAGCCTCTAATGTCTATTAACTGGGGACCTGTTAAGTAAATGCTCCCAATTACAGATATTATACAGCCATTTACAGTTACAGTAGTGGGAAAAATATCGTGTGGAAGTGATCGGAATATAGCATCAAGGGAGAAAGCAAGATACAAATATTTCTACTCTTTGTGAGCTCAGTCATGGGAAATTCCACATATAATCCATACATGCACATGCACACACAAGTGCACACATGCACACACAAATGCACACGTGCACACACAAGTACACACATGTACACACAAGTGCACACGTGAACACACAAGCGTGCACATGTGCACACACAAATGCACACATGCACACACAAGGGCACACATGCACACACAAATGCACACGTGCACACACAAGTGCACACACAAGTGCACACGTGAACACACAAGCATGCACATGTGCACACACAAATGCACACATGCACACACAAGGGCACACATGCATACACAAATGCACACATGCATACACAAGTGCACACATGCACACACAAAAATGGAAGGAAGTGCTCCAGAATACTAATACTATCTTGAATAATTAGTAAATTTATGAATGACTTTTTCTTTTCTTGTATTTTATTTGATCACCTTTGTCAACAATACATTGTTTAGAACAAGTACATCTTTCCGACTTCATTAGCCATTCATATTTACATTTCTTATTTTGGCAAATACAGATGCGCCTGTAGTTTAGGTATGTGCGCTAGGTGCTGTATCTTGTCACAATATGCATATATTAACAGATCAAAATAATTGAAATGGGGTCTTGCTATGTAGCTCAGGCCAGCCTCAAGCTCACTATGTAGCCCAGGATAGCCTTGAACTTACCCTCCTTAGTCCTGGGATTGCAGCAGGAGCCACCATGTCCATTAGACTTTACTGTCGACATGAGATCTAAGGCACATACAGTTCAGTGGATCTGGGTGTTTTCTTAAGGTCACGCCACTGTCCCCGCCATGTAACTGTAGGAAAGTCCTTATCACCTCGAAAGGCACCTCGTTCTCGTCAGCGGTCACTCTTCTTCCTCCCCAGACCCTGGCAACCATTAGTCTACTTTGTCCTTATGAACTGTTTGAGCCTCTTTCTCAGACTCATTTTTCAGGCCTTTGGAGAAACATTTATTCAGGCAGACAACTTGCATCCCAGCCACTAACATAAACTCCGAATGGACCAGCTACCTCAGCCTGACACATTTTTCCAGCTTAGTAAACCATGGATTAATTTCTTTGACCAGAATGTGCAGAAAGCCTTTCCTACTTGCAATCCAGACACAATAAAGGAAGAGGCTTATGTATTATGTTTTCCACGGAGTGAAAAACGCTATAAATAAAACGGCGAAGACAAAGGAAGCCTGGAAGGAAAATATTTGTAGCGTATATTACTGATAAATGCACAATGCTCCGAAGTCTAAAGAGCGTTTGAAAACCAAGGCATGAAAGACCACACGCAGACACACAAATTTAGAACAATGGGCGAAAGTCCTGAGACAGGCTTCCTTAGGATTAGATAAACACGCGTCCCTTGATGGAGGAGATGAGGCTCGGCTTCCTTAGTAATAGGATGAATGCAAATGAAACCCCCACCTGGGACGCTGGTTCTAGCCATCAGAGGACAGATTCTCCAAAGATCTATGGGAGTGCGGAGAAGAGGCATCCCTCCACAGCGCTGCCGAGGGCTAGTTGGCAAAACCCAACGAAAGCTCACTCTCATTTGCCCTTACACTAGAAAGTACCCTTGTAGGAATCACCTGCATCTGCAAACAGCAAACACAAGAAGTACGCATGCACATGAAATTCTTCACCGCAGTGTTTCCAGCAATCGCAAAATGTTGCCTACCCCCTAATCCATAGGATACGAGTCTGCTAAGCCAGCTTGTCTGTGCAGGAGAAACAACACAGCTGTGTGATATTAAAGCTGTCCTCAGAAAGTGACCACTCAACTAGAGTTCTGGGACGTAGTCCGCGAAGACGCTGTCAGGGAAACACAGGAAGCGTAAACTAAAACGAAGGACAATGGTTTCTTGTAGGAAGTCTGCAAGAATGAAAAGGGGGAATGCGAAGAGAATTCAGAGTGTGTGCATGTGTGTGTGTGTGTGTGTGTGTGTGTGTGTATGTATGTGCGTGTGTGTGTATGTGTGTGCATTGTGTGTGTGTGTGCTTGCATGCCTGCATGTGTAGAGGCAACAGGTCACCCTCAGATGTCATTCCTCAGGAACCATCTGCCTTGTTCTCTCGAGGTAGGGTTTCTCATGGGCACCTGGAGCTTGCTAATTAGGCTCCTTAGCCAATGAGCCCCAGGGTTCTTCCTGTTTCTGTTTCGCACCTGCTGGGACTGCAAATGTATGCCACTGCGCCAAGACTTTTTACTTAGGTTCCAGGAACCAATTCAGGTCTTGGCGCTTGCAAGGCAACCACTATGCCAACTGAGATAACTCCTAAGAGGTTTTAAAAATACAATTTTGATTTGTGACGCATAAATATTTTACGTATGAATAAGCCCATTGGGTTGAACCTACTTAAAAATTTAAAGCAGAACCAAATGCACCACCGGATATCAAAGCGTGTACACCCAAGTGCACAGTACTTAGGTAGCGTTGCATAGGGCGCCTCCTGTGTGAGGGAAATTGTGAAGTTTTGTTGGAAATGGCATCTTAAACGGAGCATTCATGCAGCCTTACGGGGTCATTACACAAAATGTTTGCTAATTATAAAGGGCAAAGGCTTTCTTTGCCATAGGATGTGTTGGTAGGCATCATCTTGAGTACTTAAATGTTTTTTTTTTTTTATCGAAATGAAATGCATAAAGCAGGGGAAAAAAACCATGGTAGCCATCTTTAAAAGAATTAATAGTTCAGTACCATTAAGTGGTCCCACTGGTACGCAGCCACCATCAGCAGCAGCATCTTCCCACACTAAAGCCGTGTGCCTGTTGCACATAATAAATACAGCATTGTCACACCCAGCAGCCGAACAATGCAGCCCCACATGCATACTGGGGCAGGACCATGGGAAGTCCCCATCTGCTCAGGAGTAGCCTTGCCAATATGTTTAGTAGGGTTCTAATGAGGAAACCTTCAGACGAGTCCTGGAGGTCGGACATCCTACACAATTTGGCTTGCTTTCCAAAGATATTAATGGCTTGCTTGCAGGGTTTGAAATAAGTACAGTGCAGAAGGAGTCATGAAAGGGAGGCAGTCAGAGTCTTTGGATTCCACACAAACAGGTAAACGCCTGTAAAGCCATTTGGAAGGCAGCTGAAGGAAGCGCCATCCGCACTGTAGAGTACACAAACTATACCAGTGTTCATTTTCTTCAGTAAGATAAGTGGATGCATTTGTGTGCGAGAATATTTTGATCTTATGATAAACGCATACACACGAAATGCCACACAATCTAATTTATTTTTAAAGAATTCTTTGTATAACTAAATAGAACCAACCCGTTTGTACATATACTCATAGGAAGGGAAACAGGAAATAAAACGTTGGGGGAAACCATGTAAAATAAATGAGACAAAATGAGAATGTTATATATAGGAAGGGATGGCAGACAACCAATGTGAGAACGTGATCTCTTTAGCAAATGCAGGCATTCTCGGCTTTTAACCCATGCTTCTCCTCATTTTCCTCATCCATATTTTAAGCTTGGTCACCACACTACGCAAATCTTTCCCTGAAGGCTCTGTCTCGTTTGGTTTGTGTGATGAAGTCATTTTCTAAACCTCCAGAATTGTATTTTCTATGTCCAGTTAGAGCCAGAATATAGTTGTAAGGTTTTCGGTTCTGGAGACAATATAGATTTTTCAAAACCATTTCTAATAAACTTCCATGTCAGCAGACGTGGTCCTGCTACAGCCTCAGCTAGTGACTCATCCCCATAAACAGCCATTTTACCCTGTAGAGCAGAGACGCCCACTGAAGGAGAAAGGAAATCAATATTTGGTATTCCCAAGCGGTTGGCAGGATATTGGTACCTCAGTCACCCTGGAGCTTCGCATGATGCTGTATCGCAATCTCTTTTAGGAGGTGAAATCGACTGCGTGGATAAGGACGGCAACACTCCCCTCCACGTGGCCGCAAGATACGGCCACGAGCTTCTGATTAACACCTTAATAACAAGCGGAGCCGATGCAACCAAGTAGGTTACTGGGAAGCGCAGTGAGCTAACTGCCGGGTGTGGGAGCGCTGCCGTGGGAGGCTGTCGTGCGGTGGAGGCCTCCCATTTATCCAGGGTAAGGTGGATCTGTGCCATTGTGCTCACTAAGCACAGATTACCTCTGAAGTCCACTAAGGGACTTCCGTGGCAGAGCCAAGGAGGAACCAGTTTGTTTCGGTTGCCTCAGAACGAGGTCTGTTCTCCTTTTTTAGCTGAGGAAACCTTGGCTTTGCTTCCAACTCTGCTTTCTCGCGCCCCTTTGTTTTGGCGTCCGCTGTTAAACGGGAAATGTAACTAGGCGAACTCAAATTTACTCAGAGGCTTTGCTCGGTTTTTAAAAATAGAGTCACAGGGTACAATTGAGTCCGTTTGCCACACGGGGAAGTATGAGGGTCTGAGTTCCTTTTACACTTAATTCCACAAAAGTATGGAAAGCGTTTCTCTGGGGTCTGGGCTCGTAGGGGGTTCCATGCGCCGTTCCCTGCCTGGCATCTCCAAGGAGATAATTTTGTTGTTCTCCAGTCCCACTTAAGGCAAAGGGCCCTTAAAGACAGTAATCAGAATTCTAAAGGAAAACAAGGCTTCCGTGGCAAAATGCCTGGTGTCAATGTCTTCCTGGCAATATTGACAGGAATGAGAAAACACCAAGGTGGTGGCTCGAAGGTTTCGAAAAGATTTCAGGCTGAAGATGAGCCTTGGGCAGACCTGAGGGTATGAGTGTGGAGTGTGGGTGAAGGCTGGAGCAGGGTCCAGGCAGAGCAGAAGATGGCAGTGGCCCCCCAAGAGGAGGAGAGCATCAGAGATGGAGAGGCATACTCCCGAGGTTTGTCTGGGCTAGCCTGGGCTCGACTTCAACCGGCTTCACTTTAGAACTGTGTGCTTTTTGAGCCTGTTGCCCAATCCCTCTGTGCCTTAAAACACAGAAATCACACTGGTACCTATCTCTAAGTTCTTTCGGAAGATTAAATGGCCTAATTACGAAGAAAGCTCTCTGGTAAGGTCTCTATGAGTGCAAGCTATTTAAATACACCAGAAGAGCTTATTAAAATGATAATCATTATGAAAAGCTCTGTGAACAGTGCCCAACACATAGAAGCTATCAATAAATGTTAACTATTATTTTATTGCCTTATACTACGTAATAGAGACAAATTAAAGAATGCCTTAAACACTTAAATACAGAGCTGGCCTTGATCATAGAGGCCGTGGGTAGTCGTAACCGAATTTTCAGGAGAGAAAGCATATATTAGGAATTCTGCATTTGTCAAATGTGTGTAATATAATTGAAAAATCTTGGTGGAGAATAAGCTAAAATTAAGATGGTGCAGGGCAGCCATGGTGGGTTCATGTTCTCTATCAAAATCACAGGCCAGGGGTTTTGACATGCATCTTAAGGAAGGCATATCTCTGAGGTTACAGTGGTTTGCCTTCTTCAGCTGTTGGGTGGAACTAGACTCCACTGCCCTCCTGGGGCGCTGGCCTGTGGTCGCAGCCTTGTGTTTTTTTACTGTGGACCTTCATGGCCGACCTTTGGCTCTGGATCTCTAGAAAACCTGGCATCCTAGCAGAAGAACAAATAGATAGACATTTGGATGGAGTTGGGAACGGAAAGAAAGGCAGATGCATGAAGAAAGGATCCCCCACTACAAGGGCACAAACGTGGACGTTTTGAAAGGAAGCCCTAGGGCTCGGTGGCCGGACGCATGGAGGGGTCAGGAGAAATGAGGAGAGAGAGGAGGAGGAAGATCTCTCATGTCCTGCCAAGGAATCGGATTCAATCCGAGGCGTTCAGAAGCCGTTAAGGAATTTCAAATGGGTGTGGGGTGTGTCTAACAGTCTCATTTGTGTATAAGAGAAATCCTCTGATATCCACCCAGACTGGAGGCTATCCAGACTGCAGGCCATGCGGGCTGCAAACCCTTGGCAGCCTCTTCCAAGTGTCCCGGGAAGAAAAGATGAGGTCTTCGGCGGAGGATGAGGCTGAGGACGAGCAGAGGAGGGGATGCTGGCCAACAGTGTTAGCTGTGCTGTGCGCATGTTCCTGAATTAAAAAAGGATCCATTTTATCCAAGTCCTCCACCTCTCTGGTTATAATCTCCATTCAGCCTCCATCACAGCAGAATCACAGTTACCATGGTTACCCAGATGACTGACTGTGATACTCTGCATATTGTATCTTAGTTGCTACCCACCGCTCCAGGTTCTGGGGATTATATAGGTCCCCACTCTCAAGAAATATATGATCTCTTTGGGGCCAGATTAAATAAACAATGACCATCCTACATGCTAAGTCTGTCACCAGAGCAAGTAGCACCGCCACTGGGATACAAGAACACATAGCAGGGATGTGGAATCCTGTCTTACAAGACCCGGACCGGCTTGGAGGAAGAAGCTGGGGTCAACCAAGCCTGAGATGAGCATCTGTTATTCAGGCCCTGGTGGTGAGAGCACTTCAGATCCTGTGTTGACTTCCTTTCCTTATATCACTTGAATAATAAACATTAGCATGAATAATAAGCATTACAAACTTCTCGGGCTTTTGAAATTACCATATCAGTGAATGTTTTAAACACTGTAAAACCTCGGCGCATAGACAATGACATTCATTTCATGTAAACTGTATAATTTAGCATCAGTGTAGTGGCAAACCCCACCCCCCATAAGTACTTAGCTCGGCTAGGCACCGTTCTAAAGGGTCACAGCACGCCTGTAGGGTAAGCGCTGTGGTTAGCTCCACCGTAGAAGGCCACAGAGCTAGTGAGGCGTAGGAACTGAGACCCCATCTTTGATTTGGATCTGAAGCTCCAGTGTACCCATGCGTGGCCCATTGCCAGTCTGATAACACACGGTAGTGACGCCAGTTATGCAAGGTCAAGTCACCGACACTACAGGGCTGTGGTGGATGAGGTCCTGACTCTGGAGGGCTCAGCATCTATCACAAGAAGGCTGGTGTTGCAGTGGTGGGGCCATGGACCCAACACACAGCGCAGGCCCTTATTCTAACTAACTACGCCATCTTTTGTTCATTTAACAATCTCGGTGTCCTTGTATTGTAACCATCCCTCCCTAGATTGAGATACAGCCAACCTATGTTTTCCACACTGGCCCATGACAGTCTTTAACCAACTCTGATGAACAAACACAAGGTAATCTGAGGTGCAAAAGCAAGCACAGAGATATGGCATCGGCAGATGAAAGCACTGTCCTTCAGGTGAACCCAAATATGCTCTTATTCTATCTTTAAAAAGCAAAGGTCCCGGAGGATGTTGTTAGAGCGCAGAGATGTTTGCAGGGACCCTCAAGAGCATGGCAATGAGTCTAAGAAACATTAAAAAGCGGTGGGAACCTAGAATCCCCATAGCACGGGCAATGACCACAGCTCAGGAAACCTTGGTAGCTGTGTTACTGTGCTCAGACTACTCAAAAGACACTGAAAGCATTGCTAGGCTGCAGATGGCAGGAAGCAGTCTTGGCGTCACCAGCTCTACCCAAACGCCTGCAACGGTAGCCAGGGCGACATAGATAAAACTCATTAAAAGTTTTGATTTAAAAAAAAATTGGAGAATGAGGACCCTGATATCAATCTACACACCTTCGAACACCTGATTTTTGACAAAGAAACAAAAAAAATATCAAATGGAAAAAAGAAAGCATATTTAATTAATGGTGCTGGCATAACTGGATATCAACATGTAGAAGAATGAAAATAGACCCATATCTATCACCATGCACAAAACTGAAGTCCAATGGATCAAAGACCTCAACATAAAGCCAGCCACACTGAACCTCATAGAAGAGAAAGTGGGAAGTACACTTGAACGCATTGGCACAGGAGACCACTTCCTAAATAGAATCCTAACAGCACAGACACTGAGAGAAACAATGAATAAGTGAGACCTCCTGAAAATGAAAAGCTTCTGTAAAGCAAAGGACATGGTCAACAAGACAAAACGACAGCCTACAGAATGGGAAAAGATCTTCACTAACTCCACATCAGACATAGGTCTGATTTCTAAAATGTACAAAGAACTCAAGAAATTGATCATCAAAAGAACAAATAATCCAATTGAAAAATGGAGTACAGACCTAAACAGAGAACTCTCAACAGAGGAATCTAAAATGGCTGAAAGACACTTAAGGAAATGCTCAACATCCTTAGTCATCAGAGAAATGCAAATAAAAACAACTTTGAGATTCCACCTTACACCTATAAGAATGGCCAAGATCAAAAACACTGATGACAACTTATGCTGGAGAGGTTGTGGGGTAAAGGGAACACTCCTGCATTGCTGGTGGGAATGCAAACTGGTACAATCCCTCTGGATGTCAGTGTGGCGATTTCTCAGAAAATTAGGAAACTACCTTCCTCAAGACCCAGTAATACCATTTTTGGGTATATATCCAAAGGATGCTCAATCGTGCCACAAGGGCATGTGCTCAACTATGTTCATAGCAGCATTGTTTGTCATAGCCAGAACCTGGAAACAACCTAAATGCCCCTCGACTGAAGAATGGATAAGGAAAGTGTGGTACATTTACATAATGGAGTACTACACAGCAGAAAAAATAATGACATCTTGAATTTTGCAGGAAAATGGATGAAGCTAGAAAATACTATTTTGAGTGAGATAACCCAGACCCAGAAAGACAAGTATCACATGTACTCACTCATAAGTGGCTTTTAAATATAAAGCAAGGAAAACCAGCCTACAAATCACAACCCCAGAGAACCCTATGAGAGACATACATGGATCTAATCTACATGGGAAGTAGAAAAAGACAAGATCTCCTGAGTAAACTGGGAGCATGGGGGCCTAGGGAGAGGGTTGAAGGGGAGGGGAGAGGCAGGGAGGGGAGAGGCAGGGAGGGAGGCAGAGAAATTGTAGAGCTCAATAAAAATCATTAAAAAATGGAGAACAATTCGGGGAAAATAATCATAAGATGATTCTCAGTGAGGAAATGCGTCTTGCCGCTGAGTGGGCAAGTCAACCCAATCCACACGCCTGCAGAGTTGTGAAGGAGGGCTTAGAAGGGAGGGGGTTGAGGTGCTGTCAGCTCCTGGGGAGGCTAACCCAACCATGGGGTAACCGTGTGCCAGCCATTTGCCAGCTGCTTTGTGCTCTGTGTGTTTAGCCCAGTGGGTCCTTCTAATCACCCATGTGACGCAGACACTGTGATTGTCCTTAAGCTCCTGCCGATGGAGCCGTTCTATACTTGTCAAGCACCTAGTCATTAGGAAGTATTGGAGTCAGAGTTTCTGACGCCATTGCCTTAAACACAGCGTTCTTTACCACAGAGAGTAAATGGAAAGTTCTAGAATGCATTGGGTATGGCGCCCTTGTCCCCTGATACCGAAAGGAAACTGGAAAGGACCCCAATCTTCTTCTGGCACACAAGTCCTTTCGCCTCTGAGGGCATGCTGCTAGAATGTATTTCAGACCTCATTTAGTTTGGAATAGCTAAGTCGGGATGCCAGCTAACTGCTAAATTAGAGTCACCTAAATACAAATGGTTTCCATTAATTTTATGACTTGCCAGATAAATGGAGCAATTTAGCTGGAATTGGTTTCCTCTTCCCTGTAACTTGGGTATTGTTAACGGTAGGGTTGTTTGGTGTTTGTATTCTCCATGGTCCTTGATGTAGGCCTGAAAGAGGAGTGAGGTTTCTCATCTAGCTATGACAGCCAAGCCTGGATTTTCCTACCAAAGATTCCCAAAGCTCTTCCTCCGTGAGCTACCTTATAATGACAAAGGGTAGTTTTGTTTCAAATGCTTAAATCCTTTCTGCATGATTCAGAGATACTGGATTCTGCCCCCTTTTCCCTGTGTTTACTTGACATATAGCTCCACTGTTCAGTGTCCTATTCAAGCTCAATGATGATGATAATAATAATAATAATAATAATAATAGCACATGTGCTGACCATGCTGACCTCTTCAAACCGTGCACTGAAATGATGGCTATCTCTTGAGTGCAGAATAAAATAATATAATTTTTATTATTACAGAATTTTTGCTAGTCTCAACTAAAGTCATTTTATCTCTTTCACCTTTTGAAGTAGCGGTGAAAAAGAAAATAACTAGTTAATCTAGACCGTGATGAACTGGGAAAAGCGGTCAGGGAGGAAAGGTTGGTTAAGAGTCTTGGTAGTGGGGTTTGCGGATATATAATGCAATTGTTACACTATTGCTCTCTGTCTTATCTAGTTTCTTATAGACATCGACGTTATTCCTTGAATTCATTCTAATTCTTGATTGCTCTCCTCTATGGAAAAATATATTTTGTCACTATAAAATATGTTGTTTATATGCACATATGTGTATGTATATGTACACAGCATAGTTATAGACTATGCCATGTATAAACATGTGTGTGTTTATATAGTATCTCTTTATAAAATATATTAGTCATCCATTTGTGTGTATGCACACATACATTTGTCTAAAAGATATATTTTGTATCTGTACATATATGTATGTATATGTGAATGCATGTATTTTAAAATGAGGCTCATTCAAAATATTGTAGGAAAAGAAGTCTTGATTCAGAATGTTCCTGTAGAAACTCTAAAATGTCATAGACAATAGTCGATACAGTTTATATATTCTATACATTCTTTATATTCTCTTCCAAAAGTCTAGAAATACTTAATTATGTATTTTGCCTTAACTCTTCCAAACAAATCAAATGATTGCATGCTAATCCCATTGGCTGCAAGTTCCATTAAGATTTATAATATATAATACTCCTTTAATAGTAGTCTGTGTCTATTAAACCAAGTGGGGTGTTATGCTAGTAGTGTAGGAACCCTTTTCTCTCCTCTCCTGACTCCTCCTTTCTGTGGACGGCAAGACTGTCACCTCTCTTCAGAATCTCGTAATGGGGGGCGGGGCGTGCATAAGGCACGGGAGAGGCAATTGCAAGCCTTCTCCACAAGCTGTTTCCTCGAAGGCTGGAAAACTGCATCTCTTGGTGGATGCCAGCTATTGTATACACGGGGCTGGAAATCTCCAAGAATGGAAAGGAAAATGAACAGAAAACGGAAGAAAATACCAACAAACAGAAACCGGCCGTGGGAAGAGAAAGCGCGGCTCCTTGTTGACACTTGCTGAAGTGTCTGTGTCTGCGCAGCGTCCACACATTCCCACACATCATAAACACCAACTCTCGAGATGGAAAAACGAAGCAGTGATAAAACAAAGCTGGGCAAATTCAAATCATATGCGCTTCTTTATGAAGTGTGAAATCTGAAAACAGACCACGTTGTGTCTGAGAGCGAACGTGGGCACTTAGTGCTGCAGGGCCCGCGCGGAGGGCTTTAGCAATCTGAAATGTATGATTTGATTAAAACGAGATGTCACAAGAAATGTTTATGATGCCTAGCAAACCGCAGATGATGCTGATCGCGCTGAGGTGAATTCAGCGCATGGCTTTGCGTCCCTGTGCAGAGAGGGGGAGGGGGAGACTCAGTGTGCTACCTCTGAAGGGAAAAGTGCCCGTGCCAAGGTCTGCCCACCCCTCCAGGGATCCTGAAGTCAGGCAGAGAGCATGCTAAGTGTCTGATACATGCTCAGTGATCCTTTGTGCCTGTGTTTTGTGACTAGTATAGTGGTAAGGGTTAGTGTACATCAGCAAAGTCCATTATGAAGATGAACTTTTACCTACGACAGGTAAACATTTCTCTTTATCAAAATTTTATCTTCTATAATACAGCCACTATTAGCGTTTAACAAAACACAGGCACAATATTAGGCCAATGGTAAGTATTGATTGGACCAAGGAATAAATAGGTGGTTTTCCACTTGAGGGTTGTCTTGCTTAGTGCTACTAGATCTGGTACTTAACTTGGTACTTAGGCTCACAGAGTGTTGAATAATAAGTAAGAGAATGAATGACTGAATGAGATGTTCAACCAGTAAGCAGAAAAAACTAGGGTAATACATGTTTAACTCTTCAGATTTTTAGCAAACATATATGCATATATATACACACACATATATATGCACATACATATGTACAGACACACTTAAGTATATTTATGTACATATATGCACAAACAAACACACAGGTACACAATACACATATGCACACATACATATGTATGCACATACATATGCATATACATGCATAAGTGCACACACACATATATGCACATACATATGGTTATGGGCCTTTGATTGATTTAGAACAAAGGCCATCTTAAGGTAGAAAATGGTTGCGTAATTGTTTATTGAATGGGAAAACTATAAAATTACTTCACGAATCCATACAAGAGCGTCGGTGGAGGACTCGCAGAGGGCAATTGTTCTGTGTGCTCTTGGGATCTTTTACTATGAATGGCTCTTTTTCTCTTCAGGTGTGGAATCCATAGCATGTTCCCCTTACACTTAGCCGCCCTAAATGCTCACTCTGACTGCTGCAGGAAGCTATTGTCCTCTGGTAAGTGGATCCCTGCGAGCTATCAGGCCCAGTGTGTCCTACCCATGAGCCATATCGCTTTATGTGACTGGTGTCAGCGGCTTACTGTGCTTGGCCGCTGCCTTGCCTCGGCAGGGTGAGTGGCTCCGTAGCCTACCAGCTCCTGGCAGTCCCTGATGTCAGAGCTTTGGGATGCCAGCATTGCTGCCTAAAATGAGAGTCTTGTCTGGTGGCCAGCGATCCAGAATTGAGTGGCAGAGGGCCAGAGCTTACATATGGAGCCTTAAGTCATAGAAGAAGAAGAAAAAATTGAGACTTAAATTGGTGACTTAACATTAATACTGTTCAACCAAAGAAAATGGCCCACTCTTCAATATCGCAGTGGTAGAAAATACCCTGTTATCATTCAAGATGGCCCATGGGCATTGAAACGTCATCAAGGCAGATCCCTTTCCAGAAGGTTCAATTTTTATATTTTTAATATGGGGCTGCCTGGAACCAGAGATTCTCCCTACTTTGAGCTTTGCTGATCTTTCTTATCATGGCTTCTGCTGATCCCCATATTTTAAAAGAAATCCCTGGGCTTTCCGAAGTGGTAGAAGCCTGCAGGGTGGAGATTGTTTATGAATGAATTCATCAGTTCTCCCGGAGGCTTATTTCTCCCTCCAAGTACTTTACCTATGGTAGATTCTGTTTTCATGACTGTAGGCTTAAAAACACGAAATCCCTGCACGAAAGCGTGTCTCCCACATCCGAGACCCGCAGGAAGCGTGGGACACACTTAAGAACATGTCTGTCCTTGCCTGTTGGGATCACTCTTCTGCTGTCCATGTTCCTCGTATGTTCTGTCTGCCTGTCCGTTGCCCTACTTCGCGCAAATTGGTTTCACAAATTTCTATCCCTGGGATTGAAGCTGGGGCTGCGGCACACCCAGGGCTGAATGCAAAAAGAAATCGGCCTTGACTTCACGGCGCTTCCTATGAAATTGCTGTGTTGAGCTGTTCCATTGCCATTAGTTTCCGTGACGACCTCTTTCTGACTACCGTTGCTTGCGTCCTGGCTTTCCTACTAACCGATTTTTCTGTCTCTGCAATGTCTCCTGTGGTCTGACTAGGACAAAAGTATAGCATAGTGTCCTTGATTAGTAATGAGCACGTGCTGTCTGCAGGCTTTGAAATAGACACCCCAGATACGTTTGGAAGAACGTGCCTTCACGCCGCTGCCGCAGGAGGGTGAGTACCGCGCGGTCGCCATTCCACCACTGGACGGCCTCGTGCATCTTGAGTGGCATAAATTGCCTAGGAACCCGAAAGCAATTTCCTTAGCAAATGGGACCCCAGTCACTTGTGCCAAATACCGACTGTCACTAACTCCACTTCCACATCGCTCAGATTTTGTTCTTCCAAAGAAAAATGAAGAGTCCGCCCTGCATAGCGCATAGAGCTTGTGTCGCTCTCGGCTCTCAGTCCCCGCCCCCACACGGCTGTAAGGCGTCAGCTGACGCAGCATGGATTTCTACTTGTCTACTTGGCATCTTAGAGAAAAGCAATTAATTTAAACTTTGTTCTTAAGTTTTCCCCTCTTTGTTACAAGTGAATGGGTGGTGGTTGAGAGCATAAAGGATTGAATCAATTTATGCTCATTTATACATTTTTATAATAAAGAAAAATTAGAAATTTTTAGAAGGATTTAAATGTAGCAAAGGTCAAGGAAATCCCAAACACGGCCCAGAGTGATTTATTCCCCGCCTTTCCCCCGTAGCAAAAAGCCTTTTTTCATCAGCTTTTTTCTTGAACAAATCAATGATGAGACCAAAGCTCTGATCAATATATTGTTGATATATGACCACACACCGACCAAACATAGTGTCTTTTGGGTGACCTTCTATTGGGAAGGCGTTGGTTTTTAATCAGTTTCCTGGTACTTAAGGAATTCTCCAGCTATCATGTGTGTTACCACAGACATTCCCTATTTATCAGGGGCGAATGAACCGTGAAGCTGTGAAGCCCCTTATTTAAATGGGTCCCTTCTGGAGCCACAGACTCACACTTCTACAGAGTTACTGTATTTTTAAAAGCAGGCCCCTTCCCCCAACCTCAGTCCTCACACTGGGTGAGATTTATGAGCCATGCAGGTCTAACCCAGCCATGGGTTTGATCCATCTCCATCCATCACTCAGGAAGACCTAGGTGCTGTGTGTTAGCTGACTTACCGTGCCTATTCAAACGGTCCTTTAAGCATTCAAATATTTTGTGACTCTTACATCCAGCTGTCTGAGACAAGAGGCTCTGAAGGGTTGGTGTGGAATGGGGAAGAGCCCCCAGCACCCCCCCCACAAGGCTTATCTTTAATGGGATCATTTTTCTTATTTAAATTACAACAAGACAACAGACAGTACATTCAAAGACTCTGCTTAGGAGTTCAAGTTCAGAGTGATGAGGGATGGTAACTGCTCACGTTTTAAAGCATGTCAGACCTGCGCAGAACGTGACAAGGCTCCGTGCTGCGTTTCTGTTTGAAATGCCCTATTAGAATGAATATTAGCCACATGCCCTGCCAGAGGAAAATTCCCTTCAGTGGGTCCTTTCTCTGTGCCGTGTGATTTATTGTTCCTGTGAACGACAGCCCTGCTTGGGATGATCACTGTGCTCCCTGACATCATTTCCAGCGTGGGTCCAGCACGTTGATTTACCTGGGTTGCAAAGACAGGGAAGCGTAGCTGCCTTTTTTTTTTTTTCCATTGCAAGTGGTTATTGTGGGGATTTATTATGCTGTGGTACAAGGCAGTGCTGAGCCACTTGGCTCCATTATTTAAACATGACGTGGAGTTGTTAGGCTGTCGTGATTTCATAGACTTCTCATGGTCCTGAAGAAGAAGTTTAGTGTAATTGATGAGGCCATCACCGGAGGCCTTAATCATATAATAATCGTTAAATTCCTTAGCCATCGCGTAGAAAATGTTCCACGAAGCCCTTTCATTTGTGGATTTATTAGCTTTGAGAGAGAACTCTAGATCCTTATAATGCAGCACTCCTGGGATATGTCCAGGTTCTTTCTCGCTAGCAGAATTTTAGACCCGAGGCTATCATGTTGGCCCAGCCCCCACTCTGCAGAAAATGTGTCTTCCAGGAGGGACCTTACTAATTAGCCTTGGCTGTACTAACTGTGCTTTCCCTGTCTTTCCAGCAACGTAGAATGTATAAAACTCCTGCAGAGCGGCGGAGCAGATTTTCACAAAAGGGACAAATGTGGGAGGTAGGTGCTCCGGGTGACTGAGAGTACGGGCTAGCCTGTGGCGCCACTGGGGCCTGACCGAGAGTGCGGACTAGCCCGTGGGGCAGGCCTGTTGTCAAGGTGATCGCCATGGGACAGCCGGGATAATTCCATCTTCATGGGACGATCCTTCCTGGTAGGGAAATACCAGCAAGGCTGACCAGACCCACGAGCTAAGGGTTCTCTCAGTTTCTGCTTTCTTAAAAATTGCCTACCTGGGTATGTTTGAGAAAAATAGTAGAACAGGCCACTCTCGTGCACCAAACTCAAAATCCGGGCTTGAGAGAGGGCTCAGGAGTTAAGAGTCCCCGTTGCTCTCGCCGAGGATTGGAGTTCAATTCCCAGCGCCCCTGGAGCTGGAGTTATAGGCAGTTGTGAGCCCGCAGACAAGGGCGCTGAGAACTCAAGCGAGACTCCTGCAGCCAGTGCTTCTGAGGAGTCTGTCTGCTAGACTGAGTAGAGGGGACTAGGAAAGAGCAACAACCATCATGGCCACGGTTTGTTTTTCAGGACCCCTCTTCACTATGCAGCCGCAAACTGCCACTTCCACTGTATTAAAGCATTAGTGACCACGGGAGCCAACGTTAACGAAGCAGATGATTGGGGACGGACAGCTCTGCACTACGCCGCTGCCTCAGACATGGAGAGAAAGTAAGCATGTCCCTGTCTGTGCTTCATCGCGGGGTAGAGCCAGTGGGGGGGGGGCGGGCCGGGGCTTGGGTTTTCTTTACATCGCCTCCTGAAAACTGCAGAGGAGGACTCTCTCAATCAAAGCCCTAGGCCTCCCCATTCTCTCTCTTTAGGTTATTGATTATTAGGTTTATGATTGTTACATGCCATTGCACAATTTCTTCTCTGCTCTGCTTTGGGGTTAAATGCCAAAGGAGCTCTATCAAGCCCAGACTTTTCAGACTGGGCTTTGAAAACCCGTTGGGATTTATTTGGCATACACAGTAGTTTCCATTATTCTCACTTAAATGCTTCATCTGCGGGGATGTATGTACATATGTATGTATTTATGTATGTATATGTATGTAAATATGCATAGGAGATACACGTGTATATATGTATGCAGGTATAAGTATATATATGTATATGTACACAGAGGATATGTGCATACATATATCCATATATATTCATATATACATTATGTGTATATATGTATACAGAGGTGTATATATATATGTGTGTGTGTGTGTGTGTGTGTGTGTGTGTGTGTGTATGTATATATCTCCTGTGTAAAAAACACCCACCAATGCAGCATCCCAACTGCCTTCAAACGCAGCCTTGCTGTGTTGGGATTAGACACTGTTCTTCCCAACTTGGGCAAGAACACTCATTCAGCAGCTGCGGAAGGGGAACTTCTTATTCCAAGCGTATTTGGCCTGTGGGTGGCAAGGCGCGGAAAGCCGCCATCACCGAATCCCTGCCGGTGGAGTCCCGCAGTTTGTAGTTCTTAAGTCACAGGAAGACTTTGATGAGTCTGCCAGACAATTGCTGAATTATTTGCTGCCCCCTGTGGTGCGTTTGTCTGTGGGTTAGTCCTGATGGCTTCTTCTCTAGAACAATGGCATCTAAACGTTTCATTTTAATGCATACGTAAGGTAAGTATATGCTCTCCCATTGGGCTATACCACCAGCCCTGTCAAATATTTGGGCTGGTGATCCAAGTAAGAAACACATCTTTTATCATGATACAGTGCCCATGTTCACATACATGTTCATATATGAGAAATAAAAGAAGCTGGACAGTGGTGGCACACGCCTTTAATCCCAGCACTCGGGAGGCAGAGGCAGGCGGATCTTTGTGAGTTCGAACAGCCTGGTCTACAAGAGCTAGTTCCAGGACAGGCTCCAAAGCTACAGAGAAACCCTGTCTTGAAAAACCAAAAACCAAAACAAACAAAAAAAAAAAACAAAAAACAAAAAACAAAAAAGTAAAAGTTGCATGAACCATATTTATGTTTATTGTATGTGATGTATTATATGTTCTGTCTCATTTTGATAGCTTCAACCTAATTGATGTTACTTAGTGACGGGTCATGATCCATTGTTTAAAAAATATGTATGAAGAGTCAGGTGTGGCGGCACACACTTGGGATCTTGGCATTTGACAGGTGGAAGCAGACGGATCAGGAATTCAAGTTCACCCTCTGATACATAGAGAGTTTGAGGATAGCCTAGGCTACGTGAGATCCTGTCTCAAAAAACAAACAACCGATATGTGTGTGTGTGTGCATTATACGCACACACGTGCACACAAACACACACATGACTGGGGAGGTATTCCAATTGGTTAACATGAGGTCTGAATTTGATATCCAGAACCCACATAAAAGCACCCAGGTATCTGGGCTGAAGAAATGGTTTATTAGTTAAGAGTGTTTGCTGCAGTTTCAGAGGATCCGAGTTCAGTTGGCTCACACTTGCGTGTCCCTCCAGCTCCAAAAGATCTCACCCACATGGACACTTGCACACACGTGGCTTTCCCTGACACAGATACACAGATATACATCCATAAAAACAATAAAAAATGATCTTTAAAACACAATCCAGGTGTGGTGAGAGCTGCTAACCAGCCCGTCTAGCCTACCAGGTGACCTACAGAACAATGAGCAACACCGCCTCAGAAACCAGGGTGGATGGTTCTTCAGAAAGGATGCCCGAAGTTGACCTCTGACCCCCACATATATGTACACACACAAGCCACGCACTCAGATTAACGTGTGCAGGCCCACTTCATTTTGTGTTTACACAGACATGTTTCTAATAAGATGTCACCCTCGGGATCTCATAGAACACAGGTTATCAATTGAGCTCTGGGAAAGACAGGCTGTAGGAAGGGCTAGGGAGCAGGTATTCTTCACGTTTTAAGGGCTAGAAGGAAAAAGTCTAGGAGATAGAGGTCAGGATCTCCCGTAGGAAGCGAGATGCTGGCCTGGCCAGAAAGCGTGAGGGTTTGTGGTAGTGGGCGGAGGAGCCTGAGATAAGTTGTTTCCTTTTACTTGGAAAATTCTCGGCTGCCTGTAAATGGGTAGGCAGTTTGAGTTTGCTCTTAAGCACACACAGCTAGGGAGAAGCGACGCTCTCAGTTAGATTCCTTGGGAGGAAATAGATTTCCCAGATGCCTTGGAGAGAGCCAATGTATGTCCCTTTTGGGTTGGGATAAAATCACTGACATGTAATTGTGCAAAAATCACTGACATATAATTGTGCAAAAATCACTGACATGTAATTGTGCAAAAATGATCAACAGCTTTTAATTTAAAAAATTAATTGTGGTTTCTTTTCCCCTTGTATCTTATGCTGAGTAGTAAGATGATGTTGGGGAATGCCCACGACAATTCCGACGAACTTGACAGAGCCCGGGAAATGAAGGAGAAAGACGCTGCACTGTGAGTTTCTCCGGGGCATAAAATGGGGTGCCACTGGGGTGCCTGCCACAGTCTTCTGTCCCTCGGGGTGGCCACATGCCTGTCTTCCTGCTGGGGGTTTCATCGGGGCTCCTGAGAGAAGGAGGGGTACAGACCCGCCTTTAACATACCCATCCTTCTGCTGTTCTCACGCGCGGAACTCTTTATAAGGTTATAGGCTTGCTTTGACTGCCGTTGTGCTGGGCCAGCATCTGACGCTGTCGTTGTGTCCCATGAGGGACGTGTTATGCCTCCCCTTGGGACCTTAGGTTCTACTTTGATGACCTGCAGATAACTGTTCAGCAGATTCTCCAAAGCTCTTCAGACCCCTCGGACCCTCGACTTACAGATAACCTCCTGTTTCCTGTAAGCAGCTGCCCCTGAGCCTACTACCCCATACTGGCTTCAGCCAGGGGCTTCGCTGTTGCTCAGCAAGGGTCTGGAGTATCTGCCATCGCCCAGGGGCATTGAGCACATGAGCGCTCCTCGACAGCCTGGCCACAGAGAGATCAGGGCAGAGATCCACGGCAGTGGTGAGCGGCCACTTAGCGCAGGGATCAAGCAAAGGAACCAGTTTGCCCATCCCCCAGGGGGCACAGTGCTGGGAGAGTCTGCAGGCCTGCGATCCACACTGGGTTTATTCTCTTCTCAGGTTGCCAAAGGAATGAGCCTCTGTGCCCGAAAGCGTGTGTTCACTCTAAGGGCTCTCCGCCGTTCACACTGCTCCCCTTCCCTGTGTCCTTGTTCCAGACACCAAGGGGAGCCTGGCTGCAGGTCATAGGACATCCCCGAGTATCTCTGGGATAGGGGCAGAGACACTGCCGTGGGTAAAACAGAATGAGCAAGTTTCACCGTAATGCATCTAAACTTGAAACGATAATGTTTCAGCTCCCTCAGCAAGCCTCCCTTTCTCCATTGGTATGCAGGCTTGCCCCGGGGCAGCCCAGGCTCACTGGTGAGGAAGGGGGCAAAGTGAGTAGAGAGACAGCCGTGACTGGCCACACCACCCTGCCCGAGTCGGGCACCTAATGTTCCGTTGATCTTGCATCGCAAGTGGCCGAGCTGCTAGTCCGCCTCGGGAGCAGGAAGGATGAGGCTCTGCAGTCGGACAGTGGGTTTGGTTTTTCCTTAGGCCCTAGGTGGAGGATATCCAAAGCCCACATTGCTTCTGCTGCTGTGTCTGTACGGCTGCCGTCTAGTTTAGCTCTGTTCTGGACGGAATAATTCTCTGGGAAGAATTCTTAAGGTTTTCTAAATTATAAATTGATGATTTCTTTCTGCAACCCTTTCGGAGCCTGGGGGTCGTTTGCCCATAGAACGCTGTTCCTGGTGAATGAGCTAGGTAAAGAACTACATTCAGGTTTACAGTGTGTCAGGCGCAGGATCCTGTCTGCGGACATTTAATTACCCAAATAAAAAAGGACTTCCTTTTAAGGTATGAAGGGCCAAAGACAGCATGATAACAGGACTTTAAGGAGAGTCTGATTTATTTCGGAGCATTTTATAGATAAATATGACAAGCCGATTGGGTTTACAAAACTTATCCTTTGTCAGTGTGCTGGAAATCAAAGAGCCGGTTTGTCTTTTTTGTCCCTTTGGCTTTAGACCAAAAGGTAGGCAAATGCACTTTCAAAGTTTGTGAATAACCTATAGAAAGCTCCCACAGGACCATCTTATTTATTTATTTATTTATTTATTTATTTATTTGGTTTTTCGAGACAGGGTTTCTCTGTAGCTTTGGAGCCTGTCCTGGACCTCGCTCTTGTAGACCAGGCTGGCCTGAAACTCACAGAGATCTGCCTGCCTCTGCCTCTCGAGTGCTGGGATTAAAGGCGTGCGCCACCACCGCCCGGCCTGGAACATCTTATTTAATGGGGAGGCTTAGATTTAGAATCTTAAAACCCTGAGAGCCATGCATGGACGACGGCTCAGGCTTATAATCCCAGAATTTGGAGGTAGAAGAAGGAGAATTGGAGGTGCGAAGTCATCCTCAACTACACAGTGAGTTTGAGGCCAACATGAAACTCTGTTTCAAAACAGCCAAAATTAACAAGTCCCGATGTAGAGTAAGAAATTGAATCAGCATGGACTTGTTGGGGGACACATTTGTTTAGCTAGCTGTTGTCCCTTGTAAAGCAAATACCACATCACTCAGTGCATCTCGGGGTTCTGGGGTTCTAGAACTTGGGGCTCTTCAGCAAAGTTTGAGGCAACTCCTCCCTCTGCTGAGTGTATCTGACCTTTTGACATGGCAAACACCATTCTATCGTTGGGAAAAAAAAACACACTCAAAATGTTTCAAGTCAGTGCTTTTGGTTGTTTGTATTGGGCTGCATTCCTCCTTCTCCTCAGCTGCATGTAGCTGGGGTTAGACCATGCTTCCAGCCTATTTGTCACCTTTTCAGAGAAATTACAATGATGCCAAAAACGGCTTTTGAAACTTAACAAAATTTAAGTCTATATTCCTGAAGGGAATATAAATGTCTCCTTAAGTGTCTGCCTTCAAGTGCAGTCACGGAATGAATTCTTTATGTCTTTTAAATGTTTACCCCCTCTTTTGATCTTTTTATTTTTCAGTCTAATCTTGGGTTCTTTCCTTCTTAATCTGCTTTAAACTTACGATTCTTAGCATCTTGGTCTTCGTCTCCAACGGTGATGTCAGAAACAGCCCCTCCTCTATCGTGTTCTCCCGATTGCAATGGCCTGATCACTCCGTTATTGCGTTTGAGACTCGCGAACACAGAGATCTGAATCCTATTGTTCAGTAGTCTTGATGACACATATGTTCTCTACCTTAAGATAAGAAGGGGACAAAGACCCTTAGTTGCCCACTGGTTCCCAAAGGTCTCCCTGACTTTTAGGATCGTTATTTTAAAATTGAATAAAGACAGATAAAGAGAGCTCTCCTTCCACCCAACACAGAAGCTTAGTAATGGGCTCCTTATACATTCCCAGTCTCTAGGTGCTGTGTGAAATGTTCATAACAGAGGGGTTCCGCGCTGCCTGTCCCTTCCGGGGCAGAGGGGTTCGCGCTGCCTGTCCCTTCCGGGGCAGAGGGGTTTGCGCTGACTGTCCCTTCCGGGGCAGAGGGGTTTGCGCTGACTGTGCCTTCCGGGGCAGAGGGGTTTGCGCTGACTGTGCCTTCTCATACAGAAGCGTTTCTGAGGCTGCATCTTTATGCTTACAGCTGTCTAGAGTTTCTGCTTCAAAATGACGCGAACCCCTCCATCCGGGACAAGGAAGGCTACAATAGCATCCACTATGCCGCTGCCTATGGCCACAGACAGTGCCTAGAACTGGTGAGTTGTCTTCTCCGTTCATTTTTTTCTTCTAGCGCGACCCTGGCCCGGAACTCCCGACAGCAACCTCGCCGCCTAGTGCCATCACCACCAGGAATCCAGGGGAGATGGTTTCCGTAAGTGAAAAACCTGCTCCTGTCTGTCCTCATCTGACCGGTAGCGGACTCATCCGCATTAGCTGTGGTGGAAGCCCAGTGTAGACACAGCTTTTATCTTAAAGACAATAAGGACGTCGAAGGAGCTGAGTGGATCTTCCCAGAGGAAGCTCTGTACTGCCGCGCTCACCAACAGTGCTGCAACTTAGTCTCTAACTTATTCAGTCATAGGGGCATGGCTTCATGTGGGCCAGCCCCATGTCTGGAGCGGAAAGAAAGACACTGGCAAGGGCCAAGAAAAGAATTTGAACTTAAAAAAAAAAAATCAAATGGTTAAGATATACCTTGCGGGGGGGGGGGGTGTTGAAATCTGAACTCTTCTTTTAGTGATGGTCGTGAGACTCAAAGCTCAAATGCCCACGGTGCCGTGAAATGCGGAGGGGGAGGTGAGCTCAAAGGTAGAACAGTCGGGAGGGACGGGGTTGGGCCAAACGAAGAGCCGTCCTGGAAAGCTGTTGGAAGACCAGGAAGGAAAGGGTTGTGTGTGTGTGTGTGTGTGTGTGTGTGTGTGTGCGCGTGCGTGCCTATGTCACAGCACACGTATGAAGTACAGAGGACAGTTTCATGGGTTTAGACCGAACTCAGATCGCCAGCTTGATCAGCAAGCGCTTTGTGCTTCTACCCACTGGAGCGGCTAGCCAGACCTAAAGCCCGACTTGCTAATGTAAGATTTCCTATCTTGAGATCTTCCGGGAAGGAGGAGGGGAAAGTCTGGGCCTGGTTCCATCCAGCCTGCTGCTCACAGTGTGCTTCTTTCCGCACACCACTCTTGGTTCGGCTTCATCAGGATGCTTGAATGTTCGGACTCACTGTCTGTGTGGGCTGATGGCAGGTGCCCTTTTTAATTGATGGCCCTCGAATATGTTTACATCGCTGTGTGGTGGTTTGGATGAAAATGGCCCCCGTAGGCCTATAAAGAGTGGGACTGTTAGAATGGGTGGCCTTGTTGGAGTAGAGGTGGCGTTGCTGAAGGAAGTGTGTTACAGGGAGCGGACTTCGAGGTCTTAGATGCTCAAGTCAGGCCCAGTGTCTCGCTCTTTTCCTGCTGCCTGCTGATCTGAATGTAGAACTCTCAGCTCCTTCTCCAGCACCGTGTCTGCCTGCCCGCAGCCACGCTTCCTGCCATGACCGTAATGGACTGAGCCTCTAAACTGTAAACCAGCCCCAATGAATAGTTTCCTCGTAAGAGTTTTCCATGGTCGGCCGTAGTGTCTCTTCACAGCAATAGCAACCCTGACTAAGGCAGTCTGCAAAGCAACATTTGGGAGGCTGAAGCAAGGGAGCCTCAAGTTTGAGGCTAGCCTGGGCTCATACTGTTACCCTGTGTCAGGAGTGAAAAGGTTGTGCCAGGCTTGATGGCACACACCTTTAATCCAGCACTTGGGAGGCCAAGGCAGATGCTCTCTGTGAGTTTGAGGTCAGCCTGGTCTACATGGCAAATTCCTGTCTAGCCAGGGCTGCAGAGTGAAATTCTGACTCCATTCACCCATCCATCTGTCTGTCCATCCATCCGTCCATCTGTCCGTCTGTCCATCCATCCATTCATCTGTCTGTCTGTCCATCCATCTATCCACCCGTTCGTCTGTCCGTCCATCTATCCATCATCCATCTGTCTGTTCATCTGTCCATCCATTCATCTGCCCACCGTCCATTCGCCCATCCATCCATCCATCCATCCCTCCATCCAGCCATCCATCCATCCGTCTGTCCATCCATCCATCTGTCTGTTCATCTGTTCATCCATCCATCCGTCCATCTGTTCATCCATCCGTCCATCCGTTCATCCGTCCATCCGTCCATCCATCTATCCATCCATCCATCCATCCATCCATCCATCCATCTGTTCATCCATCCGTCCATCCGTCCATCCATCTATCCATCCATCCGTCCATCCGTCCATCCGTCCATCCATCCATCTGCTCATCCATCCATCTGCCCATCATCCATCCGTCCATCCTACTTTCATTTCTTTCTTCCCTGCTTATTTTCCCATGTTTTTCAGAGCTGTGTTTGAAGACACACACACTCTATACTGAGCGTGGTTTGCTAAAAGGACCGGAAGTAGGAAGCCATCAGGCTAAAGTATTGAACCTGCACAGAGGAGGCTGGAGGGTGCCCCTTTCCCCTTCAGTGGGTCCACTCAGGGTCGGTCCTACTACATTTATTTTCCTATGGAACACAGGGAAATCCATACAAAGTTCCCAAGTTTGGAAACAAAAACAGGATTACTCCTGTGATGTTTCTTGTCGCATGGCTTGGTAGGTTGTATTTACCTTCCCCATTCTTGAGGAATTCAACCTTTTTTTCTCAGTTTCTTAGGAATCCCGAAGAGTTCCTTGTTTGACCTTGGGGATAGGCAGCAGTTTTCTAAGTTTTTAAAAATTTTTGTTTGTTTTGTTTTCATCCCCGAGTTCTTCTTCAGTTGCTTTGGCTGCGTACACAATCACCCCAAGGTTAGCGGCTGAAGGTAGCGGTAGTGATGCCCTCTGCCTCGCTGCTTTTGTGAGCTGGGACTTCAGGGATGGCTGAGCGGAGTAGTTGTAGGATCCTGAAGAGGTCCCATGCTGGGCTAGCACCGTCTCAAGTGCTGTTCCCTTCATGGCATCGCCTGGACTAGAAGATACAAACAGACGGTCTTCCGAAGCTGTGCGCTATCCCTGTGTGTTCTCGGTGTTTCTTTCCCTCCATTGCCCTCTCCTATCTTCCCGTATACGTCTCCCAGACATCGGTCTCCTTTTTATACATATACTTCTTTATAGTTTTGGGGTCTAGCCAGGTTGGGCTCAAACTCTGAATCCTCCGGGTCTTCTCTCTTGCAGTACATCCCAAGCACAGCTTCCCCTCCCCCAACTCCCCTAATTCCCAGATACACTCCCCCCCCACTCCTCCTTCAGAAAAGAGCAGACCTCCAAGACAGCCAAACAGGACAGAGCAGTATACAATAAGACAAGGCAGAAGACAAAACAACCCAATGGGAGCGGAGTCTCAAGAGCAGATTGAAGAGTCAGAGGCACACCACGTTCTAATTTTAAAGGCAGCTGTTATCACCAAACTATACACTGCCTTCCGTCACAGACGAAAGCCTCCCCAAGCCTCTCAGACACAGAGCGGATGCTTGTTGGGAGCTGGCTGGGATGAGGCAGTGGCATCTTTGCCTCATACCTCTAGCTTTGCAGTAGCCTTCGCTCTACCCCTTGACGGGACTCCGCGCCTAGACTTCATAAACCAAAGGCCCCTCACAAGCGTGTGCACATGTATGGGTGTGTGTTTCTCGTCACCGGGAGAGTGAGGGCCTGTGCGGTAATTACCCGCGGTGAGGCTGTCTTCTGATATCTGCGTGAGACACAGTTGTCTTTAATTGCTTTCCCCTCAGAAAGCCATATGCCCTATTGGATGTCTGAACTTCTGTCATGAAGTTTGTTGTGATCCTCTTCATAGTGTAAGCTGCTAGGATGTGTTACTGTCAGTTCTGTGGCACATAGAGCGTAATTAATGGAAGCACCTTCTTTCTGTCCAAGGGATGTGGCTGCATTGTTTTTCCTTTTCAGGAATGCCATTTTAGGGCCATTATTCCTTTTATCAGACACGATTTTTCTGTCCGCAAGACAAAAAAAAAAAAAGACTTGGTTCTTCGATGGGATCGACTCCTGCCTTTGTATTTACAGAGATGTTTATTCATGGAACTTAGGAAGAGTCTATAGTAGGTAGGGGAAGTATTAATTGATCTTCATTTATGCTGTCAGTTGAATCAGGCCAGATTATCAATAACAGCTGTAGAAGCATCATCCTCGTTTGTTTTTAAAGAAAGAACCTCCGTGAGTCGTTTATCACACAAACCGGGCTTTTCTGAACGATTACTGTTGGGTGGAAAGCCTTGTGGATTCGTATTCTGGAATGCACCCTACACTTCCTCTTGGGTGTAGTTTGCACTGAGCAAGCTGGGGACATTTTTATCATCCCTCCCCCATCCACGACACCAAATCAAACAAACAGAACCGGAGACTGTTCCTGCATCCTCTCCTCCCCACCACCAGATACTGGACACTAGGCCAGACTTTTGCAGGAATCTTATCCTCTGCTAGCCCATCAGCAAGAACCAGTTTGGGGAGGAGATGGGACAGGATGGGTATGAGTCCCGTAAGGAGGGAAGACAGAATAGCATCATCTCTGGGACAAGTGTTAAATGAAGATGAAGAAGTAAGGTGTGTTTTTTTCTTTGTTTTTTTTTTGTTTTGTTTTTTTATGGGGGAGCGTTTCTATTTTCCCCTTTACCCTTGAAAACCTAGTGCCATCATAGCCTCTAAAACCCCCACTCCTTAGGAACTAGATGCTAGGCATGACCTCTCTTGTGTTATCCACCCACAGTAGCTGCTTTCAGAAACATGGAGTGGATTTGAAAAAAAAAAATGTGTTTTTACTATGTTTACATAGGAATACATTACACATGGGCACAACTTCCAAAGAAAGCAAAAACTAGTTTGGAAGATAAAACCCTACCTCATAAATATTGGTTCAGAATATTATCCACATCTCCATGTTCTTCACAGGCTAATAATAGAAGTATAGCAGCTACCCCGGGCCCTTTGTCTGGTCCCACCCCCTGCTGTTCTGTTCCAGTTCCTGTGGAAGAGCTTGGGCAGGCCACCATGTGGTCTCCACATTTTCCCCAAGCACAGCATGGTTGCCGTCTCCTTCCTCTCTTTCCACGCTTTCTGTGGTGGTATGTTCAATCACTGTCTGCATTTCAGAAGCTCTTTGGTCACAGATGTCCAGAAAAGACCCTGCTCCTATCACCGTTAACCCACGGCAGGGCAGAGTTGCCAGTGTCTGCACCAGCGTGCAGAA